GGGATGTCCCTGGGATGGAGTCCCACATCATGCACACTATAAATAAATAAAATAAAGTAAAATAAAAATTAGGGTAGCTGAGCTAGCCAACTGGACCAGAGGCGGATCCCTGATGAAAGTTAAGCCAGTCAGAACCTAGTGCAGGAATCAGTCTCAGAGTCTGAGAGATGAAGCTGTTTGCTGACCTGACCTGAGCTGAAATGTCACTCATAATGGGGATGGAAGTCTGTCCCTATGACCAGCCATAGGCATGGTTAATTATAGCAGAGCAGAAATCATTAGCAAGCTAATGAAGCCAGTCTGCAAAGTGATTTCCATGCTGATTTTTTTATTTTTATTTTTTTAATGACTTATCATTCCAACCCACATCTCCTTTTTACCTTCTCTGGTTTATTCATTTTTTTTTAAAGATTTTATTTATTTAATTGACAGAGACCGAGAGGGAACACAAGCAGGGGGAGTGGGAGAGGGAGAAGCAGGCTTCCTGCCGAGCAGGGAGCCCGATGCGGGGCTCAATCCCAGGACCCCGGGATCACAACCTGAGCTGAAGGCAGATGCTTAACTAACTGAGCCACCCAGGCGCCCCTTAGAGGTGTCTGGATGGCTCAGTCGGTTGAGCAACTGACTCTTTTTTTTTTTTTTTTTAAGATTTTATTTACCTTCTCTGGTTTAAATGGTTTCTCTTCTTCGAAATAAAAGGACCTTGAGAAGATGGTTGATAGACCACTGTGTTCCTAAAGCTTTTTATGAGCACCTACAGGCTAATTACTTCTAAATCTATTTCAGGTATGAATATATCTAGCCTATAAATTTCAGGTATTACTATATATAATATATATAATACAGTATTCTACAATAAAATTTATAGGTTTTATTGTCTAATAGTAAAGACCTAAAATTGAGTGCTTACCATGAGCTAGACTTAATGCTAAATATTTTTACAATGCATGCATTTTTCCTTACACCTACACTCTAAAGCTGGAATTCCCTCCATATCATCAAGGAGGTGATAGATCTCCTTTGTCCAACAACATGCAGCTGGAAACCAAGGGAGTCATGATTCAATTCAGGTTTATCCGACCCCAGAGGCTGTGTTTCTAAGCACTGTCCTGAACCACTTCTCAGCCCTAATTGTTTGCTGTCTCCCTTGCTAACCAGTTAGCTCCTGGAGAAAGTGTTGTGTATGTCTTTTAAAATGCTGGCACAGTGCCCACCAAGCAAAGCAGGCTCAATGCACATTTATTGAGTTAAGATTATCATTAACTGTATTGTAATCGCACATTTTTGATATAATTGACTACTTCTAAGCAGTTGCATTAGGACAAACCTAAAAGCCCATGCATACAACCATTTGCACAGACATCAGATGCCTAAATTAGATACACTTATTTTCTGCTCTTGCAGTGTACAGATAAATAATGCATTTATTTTCTATTTTGGTACTACACTCTGATTAGTATTTTCAAAGTAATGAAAATTGTAATCCAGAACTCAGTGGAACACATTTTATAAGCCAAACGGTAACGCTGTCCATTTCTCTCTCAAACTCTTTTAAGGGGCTCAGTCGGTTAAGCGTCTGCCTTCGACTCAGGTCGTGATCCCCCGGGGTCCTGGGATTGAGCCCCATGTCGGGCTCCCTGCTCAACTGGGAGCCTGCTTCTCCCTCTGCCTGCCACTCCCCCTGCTGTGCTCACTCTCTCTCAAATAAGTAGGTTTCTTTTTTAAATAGTTACAAAAGTTGGTAGCATGATAAAGTTAGATAATATAGCTAGTTTAAAAGTGTAAATTAAAAAAATAAAAGTGAAGGAAAAGTTAATGATTTAACCTGAAATTTTCGTAAGTGGCACTGACTGCTAATTTGATGATGTAATAGAAATACTGGATCTTGGGGCGCCTGGGTGGCTCAGTCGGTTAAAGCGTCTGCCTTCGGCTCAGGTCATGGTCCCAGGGTCCTGGGATCGAGCCCCGCATCGGGCTCTCTGCTCCGCGGGAAGCCTGCTTCTCCCTCTCCCACTTCCCCTGCTTGTGTTCCCTCTCTCACTGTGTCTCTCTCTGTCAAATAAATAAATTAATTAATAAATAAATAAATAAATAAATAAATAAATAAATAAATAAAAGAAATACTGGATCTTGGGGCCTCTGGCTGGCTTCAGTTGAGTATGTGACTCTTGATCTCGGGGTCGTGAGTTTGAGCCCCATGTTGGGTGTAGAGATTACTTAAATAAACCTTAAAATACTGAAACTAATAAAATTTGTAATTGTGTAATTACATTACTAATTCCATGGTTTAATTAGTGCAATTTGATTTACCATGGGAAAAATCCATAAAGGGGTTTGATCGGCTGAATTATGAATAACTCTATTGAGGCTGCATATTTGTGGTTTTTCTTTTAAACAATACATCCCCATTCTCCTATCAATAGAGTTCGGGTTAAACAAAACGTGAAAATTAAACTCTTACAGTAAACCAAGAAAAAAGGATGAAAAGACTTGCTTGGAATTTTATTTAATAATTATTTTAAATTCAAAGGAATTAGAGCAACTCTACCTTTCACTGAATGCCAGAGATTACTGTCAGATCCTTAGGATAAGCCTGTATTTCCCTCTTCCTCCTTTGATACAACTCAGAGTTTAATCATGACTATATCAGTGATAAGCAGGCATCCACAGTTTGCCCAAGCCCTCCCGTATGAGTAGCTACAGAAAGCAGGCTTTATTTCATATTTCGCTTCAAAATTTAGTCATTACTTTTTTTTTTTTTTAAAGATTTTATTTATTTGACAGAGACACAGTGAGAGAGGGAACACAAGCAGGGAGAGTGGGAGAGGGAGACGCAGGCTTCCCGCGGAGCAGGGAGCCCGGTGCGGGGCTCGATCCCAGAACCCTGGGACCATGACCTGAGCTGAAGTCAGACATTTCACTCACTGAGCCACCCAGGTGCCCCAAAATTAGTCATTATTTTATCCTACCAACTATACCAGCACAAGTACACAAAATTCTGTGCTTGCGGCATAATATCTTAAAGCAAAAACACTGGAAATAATTAAAATGTCTCCATGATGACTCCAAATAGATTATGGCATAGCCATCCCAACATCCTACACACACAATGCAACCATTAAGGGAACGAGGCACCTTTCCATGTATACATAGAATGATTTGCAAGACACAAAAAGAGCAAGATGCAAGGACACATGTAGAGTATGCTTCCCTTTGATAAAATAGCCTGTGAATGCATTCCCAAGTTCATGTATTTTCCATTCAAATTGTTTGAAAGTAAAAATCATAAACACATTGAGGCACCACCATCTAAAAGGTCCAAGATCTTTAAGTGATCATTTTTTGAATTTGTATTATATCTGCCTTACTAGCTAATGAAGTATCTACAGTTTTCTTGATATTCTTTACACCTTTATAAATGTGCAGAACTTCCTTTGGGTGGAAATCCCTTCCTAACTTCTGCCTCGATAGGAAGAAGTGTCACTGCTTGGTTGGTTTCTTATTCTCCCACCCCTGTCACAAGATGGGGAGCATCAAGGAAGGAACATTGCTGAAGTGGGCAGAGACGGAGGGTCTCTGGCCATGGAGGTTGGCTCCTGGAGAGAGGAAAGGATCTCCTAACTGAGGCCTTTTAAATGATTGCTTCTTTCCCCCTCTTAAAACAGAGGCCCTTCTTTCTTTTTGAAGAAAGGGTTTCCTGTTTCCCCTCCTCTATTGTGCTTTATCGGAGATGGCAGGGCTTGGAATTGGCAAGTCAGCTAATAGGCACATGTAGAAAAAGCAAGTTTCTCCAGGGTGTGGAGGCTGAAACTTGCAGACAAAAGGGAACAGAACAACAGACATCCTGCCAGCCGCCTTGTTAGGGAAGAACCAACCAAACCTTGTGTCTCCTTGGCTAAGCCCCTTGAAATTGAACCACTTCCAGGAAGACAAAAACAACATTCTTGGACATCTGTGTTATTGAAGGAAACTTTGTGGACAGTTGATCAGTCCTTGTCCTCTGGAGTGCCTTAAACCCAGCATTTTGTGATTTTTTTTTTTTTTTTTTGATACCGACTTTTAGAATATTATAGAGTAAGTGAAATTGGGACTGCATGCTTCCCTCTTCCCTGGTCTCGGATTTGCTGATGCCAAACCTGGCAAGTGCAAATGCAAAGCCACTTTAGATCTCATTTGTTTTGTTTTGTTTTGTTTTTTAATAACAATTTATCTCTACCCTCCTTCTAATCAACAGATTTAAGGAAAAAAGGGAAATATTCACCTTACCTAGTAAGGGAAGGAAATACAGGTATGAGAGAGGATTTGCAGTTTTTATATAATTCTCTTAAAATCAAAGTAATTAGAACAAGTCTTCCTGGCATGAAATAGTAGTTAAGATCCTTCAAACTGAATAATTTGGTACAAAATCTGCATGTGTTTCTCAACTGTATTTACACACACACACACACACACACACCCTTTCTGCTAACCACCCAGTACTTTGCTCTGGTATTTTGTAGGAAATTTCCTTTATTGCTCAAGTTATTAACCATTTGGGTAGATATTAATTTATTTGAAGCTGTTTTTGAAAGTAGTAATGTAAGATTCAATCTCATGATTGCACCATGATTGTGAGTTTGTCAGCAGAGAACACATTTCTTAAAATTACTCTAGAATTGACCAACACTGTCTTACATTTAGACAGTATCTTCCTCTGATCATCTTGAAACAGGTCCTTTCCATCCCTTTAGAACACATATACACACAAACACATACCCCTCTAAGAGCACAGTGCCAAAATTTATCTATACTTGTAACATTGTGTAGTATTAAATGTTAAATTTTATTTCAAGGACTATCACAGCCTAGACATAAATGTAATCTAAGTACTGAGATAGTACATTTCAGAAAATAAGCTAGTATTTCCATGATCAAGTTTAGATACCTATCATTTGTCATTCCAAAAGCTTGCGTTCTAGAGTCTAGAAGTAAAAGGGAAGGGTTTAAGCATTTAAGAAGTATAAGCTGAAATTATTTATTTCAATATAGAATATTAGAGTCAAGATAATCAATGTGTACAAAAATTTACATAACGAGAAACAATAGACAATGCAGCACCTTTAGAAAAATAATTAAGTTTTGTTGCATTTACAGGTAAGTGCCACACTGAGAATTTACAACACAGTAATTTACTGCAATCAATGATAGGGGAGTTCCATAAAGAAACAAAGCTCTTAACACTCCAGATTTTCAGAAGGTATTATTGGAATGCTTAATCATAACCACAGAATTTGTACATCCTTTAGGATTGAGCTGATAAAAGTCACACACAGTTTTCAGAGCATCTACTATAGCAAAGGAGTCCACGGTGTTCGGACGGCTGGCTTAGTGTCTCTGACAGGTGTGGAGTCTGGAAGAGTTGCTGGCTTGATGGTGATCTTTCTGTATCCGGCAAGACAGACCGTCTCCACAGTAACAGCGCTGGAATATCTCCAGCCCGTGGGAGCCTTTTCTCCTGTGCTTGGTGCACACTTGACCTTCTTTGAGGACAGGTTTACAGATCTTGGACCAGAAGTGTCTAGCACAACACAGCCCTGTGGCACAGTCTGATGATCGGAGACAGACCGAGCCTTCTTGCCCTGGAAAGGAGGGGACAGTAGGGAAAGTACACGGTTACTGCCAGGTCTGCATTATTTCATGAAGAAAATCCCATAAGACACTCCCGACGTGCTAACAAAGAATGAACAGTAAGGTCCTTTACCTTTGGTATGATACAGTTTTGAAGACAGCGTGGTTCTTCTGGAATACCCATCCACGGTGCTGTGATCGTTACCAACACTTTCGAGAATGGTTTCTTCGATTTCCCCTCGATGGAAAGGATTGTGATCAGAAGGCATACATATCCCTAAGGAAGCAGGAGACAGTAGTAACACATTACAGCCGGGAGTTAACTACCAAGAGCCTTGACCGTGGCAGTCTCTTATGCCTACACCACCTTGAGATGCCTCGTTGTGGGGACATTATTTTAAACACAAGCCAAACTTCCTCCCTAGTGTTAATGCAAAACTCCCCAGATGGACAGAAGCATCAATGCAACATCTCCAATACAGCTATTTAAAACACCTTCCTACCAACTGTGGTAGTGGCAGTGAGATTTCTGCCCATGTTAATATCACCCTTGGGGTAAGAAATAAAACTAGTCACTTAAATTTTTTAAAAATAACTTCTCTGCCCTCGGTGCTATATGGATACCGGCAGACCAAGTTAAGCAAACGCAACACCAGCTGCCTGGAAGATTACAATCTCACCCACCAGTTACTTCACTGTATAATTTCTATATTACAGAGATTGAGTTAGTTCAGCCCCGAGTATTACTGGGTCCTAAAGAGGGTCGCCAGCCTCAAGCTTATTTCTGGAGACTTCTTTGGCTGGCTGAGCCTCTCTCTTTGAGACATTAAATTTTAGTGGATCTGTGGTCCAGGGCGGAGGACTTATTTTAAGGTAGCAGGAGGTTGGGGGCAGGGGGATGGATTCGGAAACCAGGATGCCTATCAAGATCCCCCTTAAGGGTGGCCAGCACGGATAGCTAAATCACTGTCTTCTGGCTGACATCAGTTTTAACAGGGACCAGGAGAAGGAGGCCAGCGTGGTAGAGCCCTGGGAGACACCAAGAGAAACAGGGCAGCTAAGGCCAGTGCTGGTTTCCTTGGGCTCTCTGTATACTTGGTTTCACCTTCCTCCCCATCTTTCTCAATTGATGTCAAGGTACTCTCTGGACTCATGTTCAGGGAAGGGTTCACTCTGTGGCAAGCAGTCCTGTTAAGCAGGCAGGGGCACGGAGGAAGAGGAGGCGCTCCACGACATCCCAGATCAAGCACTCCAAAGATTTCTGGGGAACCCTGCAGGCTGAGCACCCGTTTGCAGGTGGCGCCACTGGGTTCCCAAAGCCGGGAGCATTTTCCTCCCATCCGTAGGAGGCCAAATGCGGGACGCTCTGAGTCCGAAAGGGAGCTGCCGGACTCACCATTTTTGCAGTAATTCCCGGGGCAGCACATAGCGTGACGCATGCAGCGTTTTCGGCGCTTCCTGCAGGCGAGGCAGATTTGCGCGCCCGCGCCCCCTGCGCGGGTGGGGCTGGCGCAGTACTCCTCCGTGCTGCACTCCTCGTCCTCGGCGCACGGGTACGGCTGCGGGGAGGGGCCAGGCAGGGGCGTGAGGCACCTGCGCCTCCAGGGCCCCAAGCTCCCGGACCCCGACGCTCGTCACCGGCCCTCTGCGCGCACCTCTCCGAAGCTGGTGTTCCCAGGACTCCCAGACGCAAACTTCCCGACTGAGCCCTGCACTGCACACACTCAACACGTTCTCCATGCTCCTCCCCATCTGAGCACCACCACCCCCCCGCCCCCCCGCTTCGGGGTCTCCGCGTCCCGGGTTCCCCGAGACCCTGCTCACCTGGTAGTTGTCAATGGTCTGGTACTTGTTTCCGCCCTCGTACAGGATCCCGGGAGCCGCGCTGACCGCGGAGCCCGGGTGCCCCGCAGCGCCGCCCAGCGCCGGGGGCAGGTTCTTGATGGCGTTGGAATTGACGAGAACCGAGTTCAAGGTGGCACTCACTCCGAGCTGGAGGTGACTGTAGAGGGCCGCCGCTAGCAGGGCGGCCAAGACCCGGGCGGCTCCCACTGCGCCCGGAGCCGGCATCGCAGACGCTGTCCGGGGAAGGCTCCGAGAGAAGGCAGGAACGTCCCTCTGCAAGGCTGGTCCCTGGAGGCCGCGCCGGCACGGCTGCAGTCCGGGCTCCGAGCGCCTCCCGCGCTCCCCGAGTCTCGACTGCGGGCGCAGCTCTGCGCCGCCACCGCTGCGGCGGCCGCCTTTATACCGCGGGCTCCGAGCATCCTGGCCCCTCGGGGGAGACAACAAAGCAGGGATGGGATTTCAAAGCGCTGGGAGGGGCTGGAGGGTGTGTGTGTGTACACGAGGTGTGTGTGTGGGGGGGCTTGGCCCTCCCCAGCCCGCCCTCCCTGGCGCGGCGGGTCCCTTGGCCCAGCTCGGGTTCGGGGCGCGGGTGTTGGGGAGCGCGAGCGCGGACCGCGTCCACAAAGGCGCGCGGAGAGAGGAACCTGGGACCCCGGCGCCCGCCCCCTGCAGCAGGGGTTTCACTCGCGGGCTCGGAAGTACTTTTCAGAGCGGGATTGTAATGTTCTGCAAAACCACTTTTCTGCTGTCTCCTTTATTCCAGTCCTACTTATTTATTGGGCACCGTAAACAGCATTCGGGGTGAAATACAGCCCAAGTGGTAACTCAAAAGTCTGTCTCGAAGCGTCCCAGCGAGAGGGCCAGGTGGCCGGTGCAAGTTGCTGATTAACCTTTCAGACCCTCGGTTTGCAGATTTAGAGTGAAGTCCCCCGTTTAAGTTGGTTCAGCTTCGCCCCCACCCCTTTCCTTCCTCCACACCCCAGCCCCCCCTCCCGCCGCCACCGCGAGAAAAATGTGTAAAGAGAATGAAATTTGCACATCAAACGGGGGTAAGAAGGAAGAAGAACTAATTCTCTTTTGATGGGAAGTTTAGAGAGGGAGGCGAGAGACTGGCGTTGGGAAATTAGATCAGGGGTGGAGGGAAGAGGGAAGTGAGTATCGATAATCAGACTATTTAATGTTGCTCTTTGAATGCGAGCAGTCGCGCTCTGTAGATGAACTTGATTAGGCAGACGCGCAAGATCAAAGTGGCCAGAGCGAGACCGGTAGAGTCCATGGGCTGGGTTCGTGGTCCTTCCCTGCTGGCCCCGCTCGGGGTGGGTCAGCGCAGCCAGGGGAGTGAGCCTTAGGGCTCAGCGCCTGACTTCCTCCAGACTATTCCAGATCGCGAAGCTGCTCCCAAGTCAGAGCGTCCCGGGACCCGGGACTAACACCCCTCCAGGGAGTTGAGACTAGCTGCAGGAAAAGGAAAACTGAAAGTGAGCCAGAACGTGAGTTCGAAGTCCTCTAGATCCGTGTAGAAAAATAGTAAAGTCCTGCTTATACAGTGGAAATTTTTTAACAAAAGCACGCCTCTGGGAAGCCTTGGGCTACCCTCTGCATTGTTTCCCCTTGGGGGGAGGTGGGTAGGTGCAGTGAGTATAAATACTTAGGAGACTGTCCTAATTATAGTAATAATAAAAGATAAAGTACCGCAATTATTTTTATAACAGGTCGATGTTATGTCAGGAAATGGACAACTGCCGTGCAAATTTAGAAAAGGAAGAGATGACTAAATAATCATTGTTGAATAAGAAAGACTAGGATATATTAATTTTGTGCTCCCTCACCTCTATGGTACTTAATACTCTACACATAGACCTATATACACGACCAGGACCACCACTAAGAACAGCTGATGAGAGTCTTGAAGTTCTATAATCCTAAAGTTAAGAGGGGGAAGGGTTAAAAAAAAAAAATGTTTGTAATGGTCTGAGTTCTAGTTCCTTGGGTTTCAGGGGTCCTATTGAGAACATCTTCCAAACAATTCTTTAATAATGCCTAATTACACCCACCCATCCCAAATCCCATCTGTCCTATGAAATTTCCTCTGGTTTATTGGTAATTCCTTCTTGAAATTCTAATATGGATTAAATACCACATTTTTTTGTTTTAGGTTTTATTAACACATACAATGATCTAGACTTGGCTACAACTTTAGAAATTTTTGGCACAAACTGAAACTTGGAAACAAAGGGGAAGCTGCTTATATATATTTTTTTCTTTTTAAAATGAGCCTGAGAAACAAGTCAAGGAACACTTTATTGAGAATAAGCAATAAGCCAGGTCTCTCTTGGGCAGATATGGCCCTAGCTTCAGTTGACCTGAAGTTGGTATTAGATGGAGAGGTATTAGAGGATAACAGGGTAAAACTCTAGGGGATTTTAGGTGTCATATTATTAGTTGCAGATTATGATAATGTCAATGATTGATGTTTTGAGCACCTTCAGTGTAATAGAAAATCTGCAGTCTGTCTCAAATTGTTATGATGTTGAAATGCAGGGAAGAATCTCCTGACCTTGGGGAGGGTGAAAATGTTTCTTCTTAGTCCTATTATCCTATTTAAATATTTCTAAAAATAAGCTGTGCCACACTTATGGCCAATCTCTTTTCCTCTTTTTGAAAGAGATGGTAATGTCGTTAACACAGTTAACAAATTTAGTTCATTAAGAGCTTGGATTCACAAATGAAATTGTTGTCTGGGGCAAAAAAAAAAAAAAAAGTTTCATCAGCAAAAGAAAAACTTTAACAAAAAGACATGTTGCATAAATTCAGTCTCAAATCCTGAATATGTATGTCTGTTGTGGTTTAATGTTCTTTGAGTCTGTTGTGTTGAGTTAGGAGAGCTAAGTCAAGACTACGGTTTTAAGAGCAGACTGGGTTCTATCTCCTTCCCTACTTTCCACACTGTTCTCGATGTCATGACCTGAAAGCGAAAAATGAATTGGTGAATATCTGAGTTTCTTCTATGTGCTAAGCAGGGTACTTGGTGCTGTGGGATCAAAGATGAGTGCTCAGGTTACCTATCTTCAAGTAACTAAGTGGGGGCAGGGGTGGTAAGCTCTTAAGTTATATAGAAGAGCTACCCCTCAGGAAGGCCTTAGAGCCGAGTATGTAGCAAGCCAACTCTTAGTTCCACATAGGAAAATGGACTTGTTTCAGTGGAGTTTCCATTTGAAAATCCTTTCCATGATTGAGCTTCCTCACTGGCAACAAAAGAGCAGGATGGATAAAGATGTAAAGTGGGGTTAATCATGCCACCAGGGGCCAATTAAAATTCAGTGAATGCCCATTATATGCAAAATGCTACCCTAGTACCTTTGAGAATGTACCCCCCCCCCAAGTATTAAAGGCAGGTTCTTTGTCCTCAGAAAGCTTTCTATTTATAAGTAGTCAGGGGAAGCAAAGATTACATGGGAATGGGGGTAAACATTTTTCCAAAACAGGTCCTATTTTGGCACACATGAGATCATGGGGGAAGACGAAAAAGGTCCAGAAATGGTGACAACTAGCCTCAGGGAAGACGGGGGGTTGTGATGACCCTCTGAGCAAGGTGGCAGAGGTGGGAGGAGGTCAGGGCTGTTGTATTTCATTTATTAAAAGTAGTGTATTTAGTTCTGGAGGGACCCCTAACTCCTATTTCATCTGTTAAACTATTTTCAGAATGAATGCAATAGGCTTAATAGATTTTTAAATAGATGGGATATGCGTACCGATGTGGAATCAAACCTCATAGCTCATCAATGGCATGAGAGTGTGCGTGTTCCTCCCATTGTCAGTGCTGAGCACCCAGCACAGAATATCCTCTTCATCTGTGAGTAAGACAACAAAAACATCATGCCTATTCGCAAATGATCTTTCCATCTCTGTCATTTGAGATTCTTATGTGATTGCTGCATATTTAATTCTCTCCCTTCTCTCCTCTTCCCCCACCTTCCCTCTTTCATTCTTTCTTTTTTTGTTAAATCAAAGGAAGCAGATCTGTTACCATGTAATTTTACTTTACTAGGACAACGTTAAATAAATGTCATTCCTTATGGTGCATGCTATCAACGTCTATGCTGGTACTGATCTTAAATTTATAGTAGGGATTCCTCATTCCTGACTTCAGTAAAAAAAAATAAAAATAAAAAATGTTAAGACTTTCTCATTGGCCTTTAAAAGATTTTGGTCTTAATGCTCTTCATGATTTTAAAAGGGCTTTTAGACCAGGCCCATGTTGAGACTCCCCAGAGGCTGGATTAGGCTTTTCTGCACTCTTCAGTACAAAGAGAAGGCGAGGTTTTTGACAATGGTTATGTTTATTTGGTCAGTGGAGATGGCCAGCCCAGATAAATCAGGCTCCCTGGTAGCTTTCCAACCTAGCTCAGAAGATGTGTTTTACAGGAGCAAGACATTAAAAACTAATCTGAGAATAGAGCCCAGGACCCAGAAACTTTTGATGAAAAACCACAGAGGATCTTTTCTGATGTCCTGACATGGAGAGAGGGCTGCAGAATATAGTTACAGAGACTTCAAAACAGCCCCCTTAGCATCCCTCCTAAAGGATTTGACATTTCCAACCATAAATATTGGCCAATGGCAGCAGAAAGCATGATACAAGATCCTTTTAAAACAGACTTCAGACCTAGAGAAATGTCATTTTTCCTTCATGTCTCTAAGTTCCTATTATTGCCTCCTTTATAACGCAGGTGCTCTCCAAGGATCGTGGCCTGGAAAGGTATTTTGCCATGGGATCAGGAGACTGGGGCTGGGATTCTGGGTACTGGGGACTTCTGTAACAGCCTGAAGTTGGCCGGAAAATATGGCAGCTTGGTCAAGCCATTTAATTCTAGTGTTGGTGTTGGCCTTTCACTTATAAAATGGCATGAGAGGGAGGTGAGGTGGCCCCTTGCCTCTCTCTCTCTCACTTAAAAAAAAAAAATCACTCTCAGGACAAGGCCTTTTATATTCTGATTAAATAAAAATATCCTGTAAGAGGCCATTTTTCAGGCAGCCTAAAATAATAACCACTGACGTCGTGTATTTTGATTTCGAATAAGTTTTTTCAAAGAAAACGAGAGTTTAAATCTCCGAAAATAAGTGAATACATAATCAGGTGATTTTTAAAAAAAATTTTTTAAAGATGGAGATATACACACGTATTTCTAAATTATGTCAGGTGTTCTTGGAGAAAACGCAGCAAATACAAAAGTCCAAAACTAAGTGACAGGTGCAATGCATCACTGTTAACTTGTAGTTCTCCCCGCAAACACATATCCATGGAGAGCAAGTGTGGGTGTGAGAGGGAGTGGGAAATCATTTGCCTTTGCAAAACTGACCCTAATGCTTTAGAGCTGAATTTTTCCAACTGTCCC